CTTTCGTGCGTCTTCGAAATTTCCTACTCATCTTTATCACCATCATTAGCAGACTTCAGAGGGTCGAACAGGTAGCACAGCAACAATGGAGACAGCAGTAATCGTTACTAGAGCTTTAGCAAATGGCCTTTTACAACTCTCGTAACATTCTTCTATCTATCTGCACTTAGTACCTAGATTAAATTCATCGAAATTCATTCTGTGTATTCTATAAAATACGATAAAACTAATTATGTACTTCTACTCGTAGCCACTCTTTATAGGGATTAACGTTCTTAATTTCGTTCTCTTGCCTATAAGAGCCAACAAGGTTCAAAGAAGCTGCTGTTGGCCATAAAGGCGGCGAAACTCCTTAGATTATCGAGCAAATGAAAGGGTTAAGTTCCCGGCTTAGCTAACTTCCTCTAGGATACATATTAGTCATATATGTAAGTAGAGCTGGGAAACTTCATTCCGGAAAGTTGTAGTTATTGCTGGATGTGTCAGATAAAAAATACCTAAGACTCATAGAAATCATACATTTTAGCCTCTAGATCGGGGCTGCACGTCAACAAAATGCCAAGGCTAAAGTGTGATGCTATTATAGACTACCTTCTGCCAATTGCCTTATGTTTTCGAAAGCTCTCGCGCAGCTGATATTCCGTTCGTACAAGGACATTCCTAGAAGCCTTACCAAGCCCTTCGATAAATTTATCGGTAGCAACAGTGGCTGCATCCTGGCCACAGGAAAGAGGTCTGTATTTCTCCAGATTGTTTTATATATTAATGCAAAGTTCTTCAAAATCGTGGTAAAGTAAGATTCTCAAGAATCTAAATTTAAGACGATCTACGTCCGAGCGACGCCTAAAGGTTTCAGCGTAGTAATACCATTTAAACAAGCTTTGAATTCTTAAATCTTCGCCAGCGACATCCTTTGGGACGGGACGATAGCCTAGATCTGTCTGACTCTACCTACGGCAAAAAAGTCTCAAGAACTTCCCTATATCTTCCTAAAGAAAGTGATCGCCAAGCCAAATAATGCTTACTATGTAGTTCTAGACTTCAGGATGAAGATAATCTAGTCGTTGCACGCTTCGAGCGTAAAGAGACTTCGGAGATCCCTCCCGCCATATAGGCTTATACTCTAGTATTGGGCTAGAGGTGGACATAGGTAGTGACGGCGATATCGAAGCAGAACTTATATAGAAAGGTAAAAGGGGCGGACTTAGAGTGCATATAGAAGCCTCTGCTTGGCTATCAGAGTTATAGGTTACGGAAACGCTATTCTTCTGATTTCTGTCCGTTTCGAATTAAGGGCGGCCAGTGGGAGGGAGATTGGTGGACATTTGGGTATCAAAAATAGCTAGATGCGATAAGTGCTCAGACTGCGCAGCTTGTGTAGTGAAACTTAAGCGGTTGTCAAAAGACAGCCTGTGTGGTAGAAGCTTTAGCCAAACATATTCTAGATATTCAGGTTCCGCCCTTACGAGTAGGCATAGAAAAGCTTTCGCTGTCGAGATAAGCTACTAAGAGTTAGCAGAATCTTTGTTAGGCTGCTCAGCGTGCCTCTTCTTCTCTTGTTTCAGCCTGAATCTGATCTAGAAGCGGCTCATCAGCAGTAGACTCCTGTCTCTTGTTAGAGAGGGTATTGCTGCTATCATTAAACGTACGAGATATATAGCGCGCATAATGTTTTACTATAAAAATTCTTTATTTCGTGATATAAATATAAGCTAATAGGATAAGACTCCTTATATAGATTAGAGAGTTTACTTTAGCGTTACGATCTTATGCCTAATAGCTTAGTTTCAAATATTATGCTTAGCCAGACACGCTTAATAGCTCTAATGCGCCGTAATGCCAAGACAGCCAGAAGTAAGCATTATAATACAGCATAGCACCAGGAATATGCAGGAGCTTTCACGGTCCAACGTACTATTAAAGAGCGAAAAAATTTTCGCACCCAGGAACGTGTAACTTACCTCTATTTATCGCAGAAATCCTGAGGGGCCGGAATAAACTAATAAAAGTGCAGGGTTATTAAATATTCCGGCCCAGTACTATGTTTAATTGGCTAACTCTAGCTTCTCGGGTTTTCCGCCATATATGAAAGGATATTAGGGGCTTTTGCGGTCTAATATACTATTAAAAAAACTTAAAGTTGTTAGCACCTTATCGTGCTTAGCAGGTACATGCGGTAATTCTTAACCCAAAATGCTATTCTGAATTCTTATTAATTCGAGTCTTTACGCAATTCTGTTACGCACTGTTGTCTCCTATTCCTTAATTCTTAAGTTGTAAGCAAGTAGTGAGGTAACTAATAAATTTATTAGAACATCTATTCGTGCTAGAGGTGGGTGAGCAGAAACAACACTATATATATTCTAAAGAGACAGGTAGTAAACTGTAGGCTGTAAGGGAGAAAAGTTATTAGGGATTAAGTTAATTCTTGTTAGAGAAAATTTATATATTTTTTAGTGCTACCACATGCCTTTCCACCTTACTAGTTCTATATAGCGTCATTTAATTATATACATAACTACTAGATATAATAATTTAGATATCTCTGAGCTTCTGCTAAGGGACTTAGATTAGTACTGCGACCTACTCGTTTGCTATTCTTGGTATTTAGACTAGAAATACATTTTAAGCTATATCTAACATCCCTTTATATATGACGGAAAATCTCGTGAGCTAGAACTAGCCAATGAAACATAGGATCGAGTTAAAATATCTACTAACCCTGCGCTTTCATCGGTTCATTCCGGCCTACTGGAGTTTTCGCTACACACGGAGGGATATTTGTGAGCTTAATTCTTATATAAGCTATTTCTTGATTTTATACCTATATATAAGGGTAGGTTAAAGTAATTGGAAAACTTAGTGTAATTTACGAAGACTTACTACTACAATCTCGAGAATTCCTAAATAGCCCGTGCCGCCCTAGTTAAAAGTGTCTAAATATGCCTATAGCCTGGAGACCTGAGAAGACTTTCTAAGATTTTATTAAAGACAATAGCTATTCTCGCTAGATAGAGCAGGAGAGGTATTAAGGCAGAGTGTTTAATGACAAAGGGCATGTTATGAAACGGGTTACTAGAAATAATCATTATGATATATATGAAATTGAGGGAAGCTTAGAAGTACAACGGCAGCTACTGTTGAAACTAGCAGAGCGAGAAAATACAAGAATAGAAAACTTTAAAAGCGAGAGAACATCTTCCGTCGAAAGTCTGGAGAGCTTAAAAGTAGACATAGTTCAAGCAATACAAAAGACATAGGACTAAAGTAGTGGATCTAAAACTAAAGGGGGGTTATTATATACTTTACAGTATTCTTAGCTAAAGTGTATTATAGCTTTGCTATCTAATATTA